GTTAGTACTTCATACAATGATAATTAGATTCAACAATCAACACAGAAAAGAAAAGAAAAAGGAACAACCACACAAGCAACTCTTGAGGCAAAAAACTAAAGTAGAATTGTACAAGAAACAAACGGCGTCAAACGCAGGAAATGAGATTGCAAATGATAACAACAATGAAATATATAAAATCACACCAGATGAAAATGGCCACGAAAGCTCGCGCATGCCGACCACGACGAGCATCAATCGAAACTGAAACTGTACATGGAAAATGTACTGTGCATGAAAAGTCCTCAACGACGCAAAGTACCTATCACTGAAAACAGAAATGAAAAATGCAACATATGCAATGTATCCTACAGGTTACTGCTAAGGCTGTGGTACCACATGTCGAAAAAAAACAAACGAAACTGTAGTGTACAAGTCGTGTCGTAGCTACTCTGCGAACACCCTCCTGGTACAATGCTACTCTACGAACACCATATTGGTACCAAAATGATACACACCGAAAACAAAGGAAACATCATCTAATACATATGTATCACGCTGCACGCACATAACCACTGAGAGCCTAACAACACTAAGACAAGACGAGACAACGAAAAAAACTAGGACCGCACAACATGACGAATCGCAATGCGAGCAGGGTAAAAAGGAGTGTTGACCTCATCAGTCAACGACGCTTCTTCCCCTTCCCGCTCTGTCTCCTCGTACCCCCTCGAGCGCAGGATGTCGAACTCCTCCTCCCTCGTGATGATGAAGAAGTCTGTGCAGCGCGCCATCTGGCTGCACCTTTCGGTGGGGGAGGTGGGGGCTCGTGCTCGTCGTGGTCGTAGTCACCATCAGAACCTCTCTCGCTCTCCTCCTCTCCCTCCTCCTCGCCGTCATAGTCCTCGTCCTCCTCCCGCACTGCCACATCTATCTGAGGATCATCCTCCTCAATGGTGACAGGGGCTCCTGCCTTCCTCAACACAACAACCCTCGCACTAGCCTCTGTAACCGTCTGCTCACGGCGCGATCCACGAGGCATCCCCAACCCCTCTGCCCCCGAAGTCTCTCCAAGTGCATCTCCTCCCTCTGCGGGCACAGGGCGTGGACGAGGAGGTACTCCGCGCTTGCGTGGAGTCTACTCATGTACGGCACGCGTCGCTGCCATTAAAGCGTACTCCAAGCTATCGACGGACACTCCTCTGCCGCGACCTCGCTGAGGCTCACAACCTGATGCTGCCACCTCCCTCGTTGCGGTCATCCTGCCGCCGCGGGGTCCCAAACCCGGCTGTAGACGTGCAGTGTGCTCCGTGACATGGCGGGTGGAATCCAAATCTATGTCTGTTCTCCCGAACAACGTTGTGTCACTCACGTCCCCCACAACGGCTGTAGTGTCCCGAATCCTAGACCTCCCAGGCGTGTGTGGAGATCGAGAGCCTCTGCCTGTGGGCGACGATGACGGATCACCTACAGGTGATCTAGGAGGAGGGGGTGGCATGTCTCGTGTACGTGGCGCCGTCTCCACGACGCCACCTCAAACCCCTGGAACATCTTCCGCCGTACGTGCTCCGGTGGAGGTAGACCCAGACCACACCGGCGATGCAGGACCCCATGGAACTGGAGGGATCGCCTGCCATGGTGGATGTTGTAGCCTCTGGTCAAAGACCCGCCGGTCCAAGCGAGTCACATCGTGGACAGCCTCTCTCGCCAACTCGTCTGCATCCAAAGGACAGCGGACCTCCTGCGGAGCAAAGTGACTAGGAAGACGCAGTGGCGCAACCACCGGCTCGGACCCCAAATCCGTGATAACGGGCGGTGGCACACCATGCACTGCCACTGGCACCGGCTGCGACTGTCGGCCCTGAGCCAAGTGCAGGCCCGAGAACGGAACGACTAGATCCGTCGCTGTCTCCCGGACCACATATCGTGCGTCACCCACACCCTCGTCTCACCGCCGTCCTGCTTGCACAGCCTCATCCACCGCCTGTTGCAAGCCCTCCACATGAACATCCGTTGCCTCTCGCCCACCCTGCACAGCCTCAGCGTCCGCCCGTGCTACCACTCTCTCCACAACGTCCTCCCCCGCCACCACCCCACCCCGCACACCCCCCCGCCCTGCCTCGTCTGCCACCCCCTCCACAACATCCTCCCCAGCAACCACCCCAGTGACCCCACCCTCCACACAATCCCCCCCTGTCTTTCGACGCCTCGCGTCCTCCAACGCCCGTGCGAATGCCTGAGCACGCGGGTTAGTCGATGCCATAAGTCGAGCCCTCTCTCGCTCTAGGATGTCGCGTGCCGCATCCGGAGACCCAGTCGTCGTCACTCTCTGGGGCTGCGTGAGACTCTCTCCGGCCGCGTCGTCCCTCGATGGAGCGTGATCCGTTGATGTCGCCCCGCCGCAACTAGGTGGAGGGCCCATCGACAAATCTAAGTCCAGGTGGCTCCGCATCTGCGAATCCGACATCCCCAACCCCCTCGCCACACCTGGGGTCATACCTGCCATGACCGGATCGTACTGATCCGTGAGGAATTGCTGCATGAGGCGCTCGTCGCTGCCCCCACGCGACACCTCCGCTTGTGCCCCTATCTCCTCCTCCACTGCTCCTGGCGTTCCCCCCTCCACTGCATCCGCTCCTCCAGCTGCTCCTGCTGCTGCAGCCACAAGCCCATCTAGTGCAGGTGCTCCTCCAGCTGCTCCTCCAGCTACTCCTCCCGCTGCTCCTCCAGCTACTCCCGCCTGCCCCTCCACTGCATCTGCTCCCCCTGGCGCTGGTGCCTCCTCCGCCAACACTGAAGCTGCCATCTCCTCTAGCAATGAAGCCGCTGCTGCTACAGTTATCTGGTCCACCACACCTGCAATCGTCGTGTCCGCCAATCCCCCCTCCACTGCCATCTCCCCCTCCACTGCTGCCGCCGACGGTCCCCCCTCCTCCTGCAAGACCCCCGGAGAAGGTGATCAGAACCTTAGCTGTTGGACTGCCCCGCCTCTGTGGAGTAGTCCGCGCTGAGGCAAAGAGGACGCCAACTCCTTCGTGTCCTTTGCTGCTGTGGTCGGCTCATATGGCGCGACGGGCGATGGCGGTGCAGGACTCGGAGCAGAAGGTGGCGGCATGGACGACTCCTGCCTCATCGGAGCGGGGCTCGTCACCCGCGCTCCTGTGCCGCCCGTCGAAGCGACCTTTCCGAACGGTCCCCACAACTCCTCCTCTCCCCCCATCATCTCCCTCTCCGCCCTGTCAACGTCCCGTCGTGTAGTATGCGCCCTGGTGTCCTCCTCGCGATCCAGGTGGGTCTCGTCGATCTCACGGGGAATGCGGAGCGCGGGGTCGTCCGCTGCCTCGGGTACCGGCTCCTCGTTGGAATCATCCTCCCTGGGGTAAGGACGAAAAATGGAAGCACGTCTACCGAATACGGCCTCAGCGGCGGGTGGTGCGGAGACCCCGATGGGATCCCGGGTGATAAGCGCAACCTGATGGGCAATCTCCTCCGGCGTCATCCCCTTGCGCGTGCCCGTGCGCACTGGCTCCAACTCCAGTCCGGCCTGGCAGTCTAGCATGCCCTCGTCCCGCTGCCATGGCAGCACATAACCGCACCCAGCCCGCCGATACTCCGACAACCGCACATTCGCGGTGATCTCAACGAGCTGAACGACCTTCTCAAAGGCCAACTGGTTGCGCTTCTTCGTGTGAATGCCTTCGTGGACTCCCCAGTTCCTCTCCGTTGGAGAGGCGCAAGACCACATGTGCATCACACGAAGAGCGCAGCGCTGCAACTCAGGCGCACCAGACCCGTATTGAGACCACCAGGATGCGCACTCAATCGTCTCCTTGTCGCCGCTGCAAGCACGCCCACAAGCACGCCCCTCCCCCCCTCCCCAATCCCCAAATGTGCCCTGCTGCATATGGAAGTCCTCAAACTGCCGACATGCAATGATGTTCTCCACACCATCCTCCTCGTAACCCGTCTGCATCAAAATGTACCTCTTGGCTTGCCTTACAAGCCAACGAGGGTAATCCCTCACCTCGCCCGAAAAGTACTCAACATGTCGCCTGCGGGGGTTCAGTAAGAACCCCGCGCGGTGAGCACGCTCCAGCATGTGCTGTGTGCGAGCCTGCACACGCCTGATGATGCGGTCAGCGAAAACCCTCTACAAAGGAGCGCATGCATCAGTGACACGGCGGACAAAATCCTGTGTCCACTCGATCATGAGGGACATGTACTGCCCCCCACGATCCATCCGCCTAAGCAGCTTCATGACGGGCTGCATGATGTGGACTATGGTGGCCATCGTGTGCCACCAAGGCTCCCATCTGATCTGCCGGCGCACCCAACGCGCCATGTCGCACACATCAGCGGACCACGGTATAGAAGCAAACTCCCGCCCGTCATCCCCTCGCATCATCGCCTGCAGAGCGTCTTGCAGGGCCAACAGTCTCTCCAACATAGAATAAACAGACGCGAACCGCGTCTCGCAAGAAAGCACAAGCCCCTTGTTGGGGCTGCGCTTCCTAAAGAAATAAAGGGCGGCCTGGTGGGTTTTGAAAAACACCACCAAAACAAGAGCGCGCGTAATCGCGTCCACAAATGCGCCGCAACTCGTCCCCATGTCTGACAACAATTTGTTGCAGACATGGACGAAACATCTCCTGATTGCAGGAGGGATGCCCGGCGAGGCCAATGCCCTCACTGCCCCCACGTACGCCGATGCGGAGTCTATGCATATTGCATTGACCCGCTACGGGCCGCCGAAATTAAACTCGTGGAAGATGGTCACCCATCTCCGAAGGACGTGTACTACATCGTCCGGCTCGCCCTCGCGATTGATCGTCGTGTAGACGACGACCCCTCGCGAGCCGGCAGTAAGGAAATTCACGATTGGTCTCCCGTCTCGTGATTCCTCCTGTCGGAGAGGAGGGTGGCACCAGTGATCCAGAATGGCTGCCTCACCTCCTCCAACTCCTCCGCCAGCTCCTCACGGTGGGTCTCCACCGCCTGCATACTCGCAATCTCGCCGTGGCTGGGGAGCACAGCGCGCGGGGAACTGCCAGGCTGCTCAAGAAGGACCTGTTGGAATGCCTTCCAAGCCTGGTTGCGGAAGGCATTGAAAGGGACCCCGCTGGAATAGAGTCAGCGAAGGAATGTCTTCTTGTGGCGAGCAACCCACTCGCCACCGTAGACGTCAGTGACCTTCTGCTGGCGAAGCCTCTTCCCACCTGGGGCGGCGGCCGGATATGTTCCACCTTCCTTCCTCTTGGAAGAACCCTCCCCTACAGGTCCCTTGGCTGCTTGCCTCAAAAAGTCCTCCATCCTCTCCCCAGTGCCTGGATAAACCTCAGGCACGTCCTCGTGTCTCGGGACTCCCTGCGCGCGCCTCGCGATCGACGTCGATCGCGCCCTCCTCCGTGTCTCCACCTCCACCATCTCCCCCGACCCCTCCTAACGCTCCCTCCACGGGCTGTCGCCCCTCCTCTCCTCCCCTCACACCACCCATGCCAGGCACATCGACTCCGCGCTCCGTCGCGTACCTGGCAACCCTCTCCATTTGATCACTCTCGAACTTCTATTGACTCCGTCGCGCGATCTCATACAAAGCCTCGTCGGTGACGTCCTTGCAGTAGTTCGTCTGCGTGAAATGCCTCGTCGCCTGGAATTGGCTCCCCTGAAATACTTTGTTGCAAAAAGTGCAACGCAACATCATGACCCCCTTGTTGTCGACCTTCTGGCCGACAACCAGGTAACGGTACACAGGGGAGCGGCCCCTGAATGTGTTCTGCACATGGTCAGGGGCAGGCTCATGCTGACGCCGCTGTGACCTCCCCATGACGGCCGCCCTCGCCGCTTCGCGAGTCAACAATCGCAACCCCTTCCTCCCCTCCAAACGCGTGGCCTCAGGCAACCTCCCCCCCCCCCGTTGACTGGTTGCCC